AGGCTCCTCTGTCCATAGGGTCGCAAAGAGTCGGACACGACTGAGCGACAGCATAGCATACATACACTAAACCCTTAACATGATAGGTTAGTCTTGCCTATTTTTGTACTTTATATAAATGGAACTCAATATGCACTCTCTTAATTCAGCCTTCATTCAACACTGTGTGAAATTCATATTGCTTTCTGTAGATGTACACTGTACAATTCTCATTTCTAGTTAGAATATATTGTGTGATTATGCCAATACTCAGACATTCTATTATTGGTGAACATTATTGAGAGTGAATTATTTAACTCTCTAAATACATTATTTTTGGATGTTAAGCTAACCTTGTATTACTAAGATAAATTCCACTTGATCGTGATGTATAATTTTTTAATATATTAATGGATTTAATTTACTCATATTTGATTGAGAATATTTGTGTCCATATTGTTAGAGATATTCGTTTGTAGTTTTCTTTTCCTGTGATATCTTTGTCTCACTTTGGTATCAGAGTAATTAATGGCCCCTTTAATTTTCTGGGAGAGATTGTGAAGGATTAATATTCACTTCCCCGATAGCTCAGTTGGTAAAGAATCCACCTGCAATGCAGGAGACCCTGGTTCAATTTCTGGGTTGGGAAGATCCCCTGGAGAAGGGATAGGCTACCCACTCCAGTATTCTTGGGCTTCCCTTGTGGCTCAGCTGGTAAAGAATCCACCTGCAATGCAGGAGACCTGGGTTTGATCCCTGGGTTGGGAAGATCCCCTGGAGAAGGGAAAGGCTACCCACTCCAGTATTCTGGCCTGGAGAATTCCATGGACTGTATAGTCCGTGAGGTCCCAAAGACTTGGATGTGACTTTCACTTTCAATATTCTTAAACTGTTTGATAGATTTCACTAGTGATGCAATCTGGGCCTGTGCTTTTCCTTGTTAGAAAATTTTTTATTATGAACTCAATTTCTTTACTTTTCATACACTTATGTTTTTATTTCTTTTTCAGTCAGTTTTAGTAATTTGTATAATTCTAAGTAATATGTCCATTTCACTTATGTTGTATAATGTGTTTGCATAAAGTTGTTTATAATAATCCCTATGCTCTTTTAAATTTTTATATAGTTGGTAGTGATGTCCCCTCTTCTTGGCTTTTGTTAATCTCTTTTTTTTCTTTAGCTGGTCTAGTAAAGGCTAACAAAAATACAAATTTTTGTTGGTATTTTCAAAGAACAAAATTTTGGAATGGGGGTGGGGGGGTAGCGGCCTGCACCCGGTCTTAGTTGTGGCACACAGGCTCTTTGATGGAGTGGGATCTTTCAGTTACAGGATGTGGGATCTAGTTCCCTGACCAGGGATAGGACTTGGGCCCTCTGCTTCGGCAGTGCAGAGTCTTAACCACTGAACCATTTGGAAAGTCCCTTGGTTTGATTTTTTTTTTTCTGCTTTCAGTTTTATTAATTACTACTTGACTCCTTCCTTCCTTCCTTCTTCTTCTTTTGGCTGTTAAGTTTGCTTTACATTTTCAAGTTTCTCAAGATGGAAACTTAGATTACTGCTACGAAGTTTTCTTTTCTAATATAGGCATTTCAAAGCTAAAAAAATTTCCTCTTATGCACTGCTGTAGCTACACCATACAAAATTTTTAATATTGCATTTCATTTTCATTTAGTATAAAACATAATTTCTCTTGTGAGTTCTTTGAATTATAGGCTATTTAGATATGGGTTGTTTAATTTCCAAATATCTTAGAGTTTCCAAATTACTCTGTCACTTGAAATGCCCTCTGGGTCAGTGGAAGTGAAGAGAAGTAAGTCACTCACTGTGAGGACACACTGACTCTTTGCGAGTCCATGGACTATATAGTCCATGGGATTCTCCAGGCCAGAATACTGGAGTGGGTAGCCTTTCCCTTCCCCAGGGGATCTTCCAACCCAGGGACCGAACCTAGGTCTCCTGCATTGTGGGCGTATTCTTTAGCAGCTAAGCCAGGAGGGAAGCCCAAGAACACTGGAGTGGGGAGCCTATCCCTTCTCCAGCATATCTTCCCGACCTAGGAATCAAACAGGGGTCTCCTGCATTGTAGGCAGACTCTTTACCAGCTGAGCTATCAGGGAATCTTTACCAGCTGAGCTACTGGGCCAGTGGAATCCCTATCAACTGCAATCTCTGGGCCACATAGGTCCCATTGGCCTCGGAGCCACTCTCAGTTGAGGTGGCCTTGGAGTCTCAACCCTCAAGTAGTGGACCCACCCGCTGGGCATTCCATTGTCTGTGTAGAATCCCAAAAGTCTGACAGTCTTTCTTTATTTTGTCCTGTCGCTGTCAAATTCAGTCCAAGCTGGCAGTGTTTCTGGTGAGAATCATATTGGTCTTCTGTGGATATCAGAGGGATGCACACAACTGGATACAAGGCTCTTCCATGGATCCTTCCTATGGATAACCCCCTTTCTATTCCTGGTTTCTGTTGAGATGGTTGATTGGGTTCATGAATCACCCATCTAACCTCTTCACCAAAAGGTTGTCCAGCTACACCAATGGCCTTGTCTCCGGAGCATGCGATCTGTGTAGGCTGAGAATCTTCCAAATCTTTGAGTGCTGACTCCTTTTCGATTTATCTCTTTCCTCTCATATTTTTACTATAATCAGCAAGGGAAAATCATCCAGCTATACTTTACACCTTTTGCTTTATAATATCCTCAGTTAACTACCCAAGCTCATCACTTACAAGTTCTATTTTCTGTCCAACAGCAGAATATGATTCAGTCAAGTTCCTGCTACTTTATAAAAAGTATCACCTTTTCCTCCAGCTTCCAATAATGTTTTCTTCATTTCTAAGATGTCACCATAAGTTTTTATGTTTGTTTGTTTGGGGGTGTCTTGTTTGTTTGTTTGTTTGTTTTTTGGCCACGCCACATGGCTTGTAAGATCTTAGTTCCCAGACCAGGGATTGAACCCCAGGCCCCAGCTGTGAAAGTGCCAAGTCCTAACGGATGGACCACCAGAGAATTTGCCCCCACCAGAAGTATTTTTAATGCTCATTATTTCTAGCAAAATTCTGTTCATGACAATATATGTATTCTCTAAGATGACGGAGGATTCCACTTCTGAGCTTTTCATTTCCTTCTGAGCCCTTGCCAGAGTCACTTTTAACATCCATATTTCTACCAACAATCTCTATAGGGAGAGAACGCCAAAGACTGGGACTTCCCTGGCCATCTGCTGGTTGACTCTGCACTTCCACTGCAGGGGGCATGGCTTCCATTCCTGGTCAGGGAACTAAAATCCCGAATGTTGCATGGCATGGCCAAGGAATGCCAGCAACCACCTGAAGTTAGGAGACTGGGGTGGAACCAGTCCTTCCCTAGAGCCTTCAGAGGATCATGGCCCTTGCTAACACCTTTGATTTGGGGTTTTAAGCTCCAGACTGTGACAGAATAAATTTTTGTTGGGTTAAGCCACTCAGTTTTGGGTACTAGAAATGGGGTGCTGAACAAACACCTAAAAATGTAGATGTGGCTTTCAAACTGGGAAATGATCAGAAGCTGGAGTTCTGAGGTTGATGATACCAACCAAGTCTAGGATGCCTTGAAGAGATTGTGTCCATACAAAGACCCGTATGCAAATGTTCATGGCATCTTTATTCCTAATAGTGAAAAAAACTATAGATAACCCACATGCCCATCAACTGGTGAATGGATAACAAACTGTGGTGTGTACATCCAATGGAATATCATTCAGCAACAAAAAGGAGGATAGGCTGCAGATACAGCAATATAGCTAAACCTCAAAATAATAATGCTTAGTGAAAGAAGTTTGAGTGCAAAAAAGAGTACATTATGTTTGAGTCCATGTAAATAACTCTAGAAAATGCTAACTATAATAACAGAAAGCAGAATAGTGGTTGGGGGCTGTGGGAACAAAGGGAGGGATTACCAAGGAAAGGAGGAAACTTCTGGGAATGTGTTCATAATTTTCATTATGGCGATGGTTTCACAGTTGTATACATAGGACAAAACTCACCAAATTGTATACTTTAAATATTTGCTGATTATTTTATGCCTGTTATATACCTTACTGTGTTTTTTTAAAAAAAGCATCTGCACTCCCTACTTGGAACCGCTGGACCCAAACAAGGAGTCCTTACATTTGTTCTTACATAATGTTCCTTACATTTCATCAGGGTCTCATTCACATCCCTAAGATTTCATAAATTGGAACAGGTTCAGGGCTGAAAGACAAAGTCCTATTTCTCTACCTCAATCATCACTTCAGCCTGACACCATTTTCCCAAACCTATACCTTTTCTTCGACATCTTAACTCACATGTCTCACCGGTCTCAATACTTCTATTATTTCCTATTGCTATATCTGCCCCGCCTCCCGCCCTCACCCTTATTTCCCAAGATATTTCCAAGGACACAGCAATATCCTTTCCCACCCTGATGCCCTCTCCCGCCCCCTTTCAGATCCTTCTCACCCTGATCCTTCAGCCACAATGAGGCGTGTATTGGCAAGCAGACAGTTTAGAAAGAGACCCCCATGGCCTTTCTTAACAGCAAAGTAGATGAAAATCCAGCTCTCTAGCAAGTCAGGGGTGAATTCCTGAGCACTGTCTATTTTTAAGGCAGCAGTTCTCAAAGTGTGGCCTCAGGATCACCTGAGAAGCTGCGCCCCCACTGCAGACCTACTGAGTCGGAAGCTGGGGTGGGGCCCAGCAATCAATTTTAATAGAGGCATGTCAGTGTTCTGGGGCGGGGGGAAACAGACAGGAAGAAAGTTAGATTGGAAGCTCTCCGTGCGTATCTGATTGACAGATTTGGGGGCTCGAAGACAGGGTGTGGGGTGGGAGGGAGACATTAACAAAGGAGAAAGCGATAATTAAGAAAGAGCTCATTATGTAGTCAGAAAATCTACCCTGCCCCAGAGAGCTTTCTCGAAAGATGTTCTGCGACATTTACGCCAGGAACTGGCAGACAGGGCCAGCCGGGCCCCTAGCTGAGGCCAGTTCCGCGGATGTTCAGGGGTTAAATCTGCAGCTCCCCGCCGCCCCCGCCTCGCGCGTGTGCGCGTGCGCGTCCTCGGGCCATAGAGCTAAGCAAGCCTCCCAGATTCCTAGAGCGGACGGCGCGATGGCGGGTTTACCGGGTGGGAGGCTTGACGGCGACCTGGAGAACACATCAAGGTATGGGTGATGTCGGCTCACGGATGGCAGAGGAACTCGGGCGATCTGGGCTGCCCAGCGGCCTCGCAGCGCCGCCAGGGAACCGTGTACGGTTCCTTGAGTCTTTAGGGAGTCGAGGCTGTCGCCGTGGCCCCCAGGCGCCGCTCCTGGGCACTGGGAGCTGGTCGGTGCTTGGCCTGGTGTTCTTTGGGTACCCAGCCAGTCGTTGACCGGCCTTGGGTTCTGTTGAATGAACGCTTGAAACTGGAAGCGAGTGGAATCCAGAAGCTCGGATGCAGCCGCGCGAATCAGCCGACGAAGGTGTGAGTGTGAGAACAGGAGGAGGGAGGGACGGATGATGATAATGATGTCATTTGTGTCTTTTGGGCGTAGGAAGGGCAGCGAATAACACAGAGCTAACCGCTAGGGCAGAATTCTGAAATTCCCTCCCCTGCCTTATGTTTCCCGTTATATCCTTATTTTGGTAGCATTAACCCCCGGATTATTTTTTTTAAATCTCTAGACTTGGAATGAAGACTACATGTCCAAGACGGGTGGTATACACTATTGATACACTGTGTAAAATAGATAACTAGTAAAAAATTAGGTATCATGAGAACATACTGTATAGCTTAGCAAACTCCACTTAATGCTCTGTGGTAACCTATATGGAAAGGCAGTCCAAAAGGGACTTCCCCAGCTAACCCTTTCTGCTGGATGATGAGGGAGGAAGCATGGTACATTTGAAAGAAAAGCACCTGAAAGTTAAATGAGATTTTATTTTCTCCTTAACGTCTTTTATATCCAGAGGATGTTTTTGCTGGTCTAGTCTCAGAAATTATATCTTCAGTCTCTGCATTGATTCCCTTCCGAGTCCAAGGGTGCCCAGTTGCCTCATCGGGCGATCTGGGCTGCCCAGCGGCCTCGCAGCGCCGCCAGGGAACCGTGTACGGTTCCTTGAGTCTTTAGGGAGTCGAGGCTGTCGCCGTGGCCCCCAGGCGCCGCTCCTGGGCACTGGGAGCTGGTCGGTGCTTGGCCTGGTGTTCTTTGGGTACCCAGCCAGTCGTTGACCGGCCTTGGGTTCTGTTGAATGAACGCTTGAAACTGGAAGCGAGTGGAATCCAGAAGCTCGGATGCAGCCGCGCGAATCAGCCGACGAAGGTGTGAGTGTGAGAACAGGAGGAGGGAGGGACGGATGATGATAATGATGTCATTTGTGTCTTTTGGGCGTAGGAAGGGCAGCGAATAACACAGAGCTAACCGCTAGGGCAGAATTCTGAAATTCCCTCCCCTGCCTTATGTTTCCCGTTATATCCTTATTTTGGTAGCATTAACCCCCGGATTATTTTTTTAAAATCTCTAGACTTGGAATGAAGACTACATGTCCAAGACGGGTGGTATACACTATTGATACACTGTGTAAAATAGATAACTAATAAAAAATTAGGCATCATGAGAACATACGGTATAGCTCAGCAAACTCCACTTAATGCTCTGTGGTAACCTATATGGAAAGGCAGTCCAAAAGGGACTTCCCCAGCTAACCCTGTCTGCTGGATGATGAGGGAGGAAGCATGGTACATTTGAAAGAAAAGAACCTGAAAGTTAAATGAGATTTTATTTTCTCCGTAACGTCTTTTATATCCAGAGGATGTTTTTGCTGGTCTAGTCTCAGAAATTATATCTTCAGTCTCTGCATTGATTCCCTTCCGAGTCCAAGGGTGCCCAGTTGCCTCCAGGCCTCAGACTTCTATGTGAACAAGAAAAGCTCACTGAGGAAATGGTAATTCTTCAGTTGCTCCCTGAGATGTCATGTCCAGTTGCAGTCTATGGAGACTCAGTTCACTTCTGAGTCTTAAGAACACCTGTCAGGTGAGAAGCAGTGTGTGTCTTTTTTGATGGTTGGGGGAGGGGGCGGTTTGGGGTTACCTTACTATGTTAGTATCTTCTGGTGCTGTTGGTATTTCTCATTGCCAATAACCTTCCCTGTATTAGGCAGTACCATCTCTTTTTTCACAAAAGAATGTGAAACACATTCTTTTGTGTTCCAAGCTCATGGCTTTATTGTACATTCTTACAATCAAATTCTCCTGGCATTCCTTCCTTTCTTCCATTTTTCCCATTATAATCACCTCACCACCAAGCTATCAGTATTCTGTATTTCTGCTGGGGATACTACCTGTGAACTAATCAAAGAAGCCTTTGCCCTCAAGGAGTTTACATTCTAGTTGCAGGGAAAGGAAATATATAAATATACAGTATAGTATCCTGTGGCTCAGCTGGTAAAGAATTCACCTGCAATGTGGGAGACCTGGGTTCGATCCCTGGGTTGGGAATATCCCCTAGAGAAGGGAAAGGTTACCCACTCCAGTATTCTGGCCTGGAGAATTCCATGGACCGTAGAGTCCATGGAGTTGCAAAGAGTTGGACACGACTGAGCGACTTTCACTTTCACAGTATAGTATCAGATACTGATAATGGTTATGGAGAATGTATCAGAATTCTGGCAGGAAACAGATGGCTCATTCAAATTGGATAATTCAGATTTCATGAAGAGGCTGGGCAGGATTATAGAAATCAACAAGGGATGGAGAAGAGTCTACACAAAGTGTAAGCTGATAGAACTATCTTCTGTCACCCATTCCACATCACCCTTATCTTCTGCCAGCATCTCAGTGGCGCAGAGTTCTTTATCTGGTCAAATAGCATAAACCTTCTTTCCTAGATTATCTAAGTCCTTGGTGACCCTGTCTCTTTCAGGTTACTTTGGTGTACCATTGACAGGGCCTATTAGACATGAGAGAACTAATGGGCACCCCCATGAAGTCCTCTGAGTTCCAGCAGCATCAACCATTTCCCCACTGGTAATTGGTATCAGTTATTCTGGCCGCAGAGTGACCCCATCGCTGCCTACTTGTTTGGCAGTTTGAGGAGCCCAAAATACAGAAGCAGGAAACAGTCTCAACTTCAAATTTAATAAAAGTATGACTTTGTCCCATGGTAGAAGTATTTTTCCTTTGAGAATCAGAATCCTAAACCCACCAAGCCAAAGATTGTAGGGATAGGAAGCAAAAATAATGTAAATGAATTATGAGGTATAGAGTAAGAGACATTATTACTTTCTCTTCTGCCCTTGTCTCCTGTATCCATGTATTAAGGCCATGGGGAATATATAGCACTATTTATCATCCTCTAGTTTATTGCATATATTGCATCCCATATGACAGCACCACAAACTTATCAAGGTGTTGTTGCCCAGCTGGCACCATAACTGAATCTTCATTTAATCATTCCACCATTATCATCATCCACTTAAATCCAGATGGTGGGACATGTGATAAGGTCCATGAGTTATATGTGTATGAGCTCACTGCTGAACTTTCTTCCCTGTAAAATGACTCCTTTGGCGGTAATACTATATAGAATACTGTGATAAGAAATACAGCATTCTCTTAAGTCAATGTAAATTTTTATCTGGACTGTGTATATAGTCCTTTGAAAACAAATGGTTGCCCTCTCCATAATAAAAGGGGTTAGGTATAGTGAATCTGTCCCCAAGTGGCTACCTAGTTTCTCTGTAGAGAATGGTACCCTATTAGGGCCTTAGCAGTTGGCCTCTTGGGCACATAGAAATGATTCTAGGCATATCAACCTTCATAAGTGGGGGTCCGTATTGTTGAGCCCTTATATAGCCTCCATCTGTGCTGCCGTGACCACTTTGTGCGTGAATCCATTGGGCAAACACTGCATTGGTAAAAAGGCTGATTGACATCCTAATATGGATTGCCATATCCATCTGATTGAGAGGCTTCTCCACAGAAAATGCCCTTTGGTAGGATTCACATGGGCCACTAACTTATTAGTGGTTCATGCTTTGGTTCATCCTCATACTTTTCCTCCAGAATCTTTATTTCTCATCTTGTTCAGTCTTATTCTTCCCAGGTACCTAAGTAATCAGATGGGCTTCCCTGGTGACTCACCAGTAAAGAATCTGCCTGCCAATGCAGGAGATGTGGGTTTGATCCCTGTGTCGGGAAGATCCCCTGGAGAAGGAAATGGCAACCCACTCCAGTATTCTTGCCTGGGAAATTCCATGGACAGAAGAACCTGGCAGGCTATATAGTCCATGGGGTCACAAAGAGTTGGACACGACTTAGCAACTAAACAACAATGAGTAATCAGATACCCAATTAGTTACTACCTGTGAATTGTCAATACATGTATGTTAGGCTATGTAGACATGGAAAGTAGACAACCAGGTATATACCTGAAATCCTGCCCACTGGAAGGATTTGCCTTTACCAGCATGTTTGAGACCACCCCTGAGTAGAGGTGTACGCTGGTGCCCATACCCTGGGCAGGCCCATCTGTGCATTTTCCTCCTCTGTTAACTGGTAATAGGGAACTCCCATGGAACCATGAATATAGGTTGAGGGGGTGTGGTAGTGGTGCAATAGGAACAGGAATGGGAATCTGAGTCACTATCACGTGGAATTTACTTGTCTTTCAGATTTGCATTTATAATGGAATACTGGTTTATATGTTCAGTTCTATGAGTTGATGGATCAAATAACAACTAGGACACAGTGGTCACTTTGTAATAGTTATTTGGTACCCTGTGGTCAAGCATTAAGTCTCTAATAGTGCTCAAGAGCAAGCCAAGATCTGCTTTTCACTTAAAAAATTGTTGGTAGAAGGGAGTATGGCCTTATTCCACTATGGTTCTCTCTTTTTTTTAATATTTATTTTTATTTATTTGGCTGTGCCAGGTCTTCGTTGTGACACGTGGGATCTTTAGTTGTGGCATGCGAACTCTTAGTTGCAGCATGTGGGATCTAGTTCCCTGACCAGTGTTCGAACCCAGACTCCCTGTATTTGGAGCATGGAGTCTTGGCCACTAGACCACCAGGGAAGTTCCTTCACTGTTTCTCTTACAGAGGCTTTCAAGAGTCTCCATATAGTACCTATGACTGCTCCTGACACTTCCAGTACCATTGGTTATCCTGGCTAATGAGGTCATGCGACAGGACAGCTTGCATTGCAACATGGTCCTACTGTAGAACCTTTTTTTATTCTACTGTTAGTCACTCAGTCATGTCCGACTCTGTGACCCCATGCACTGTAACCTGCCAGGCTTCTCTCTCCATGGAATTCTCCAGGCCAGAGTACTGAGTCTCATTACTCAGATTGGTCATTTCAGCTCACTAACTATGGTATCTGTTCCCTAAAAAATGCAGGCCCACCAAGCATTATGCCTCTCTGAGGTGGTAAGAATTGGTTAGAGGTATAACCAAAATCAGAGAATAAGCCATGTGACAGAGAAGAGTCTTCCAGGAAGAGGGAATAGCAAAAGTCAGAGCCCCATAAATATAGCAGGAACAGAGTAAGCCTGGAGTAGACAGGTGATAGGGGTGGTGTAGAATGAAATGAGGGCAGAGAGAAAAAAAAGGGACCAGATCATAAGTTATTCCCAGTGAAATGGGAAACCAGTGGAACTCTTTACACAAGATAACATGTAAAGATCACTCTAGCCATTATATGGAGAATAGGAGAAAAGTAAGTTAGCATAAAGAAAGCAAATGATTTAAGAGAGTAATCAATTATGTCAAATAAATAAAGAATAAGACTGAAAATTGACCATTGGATTTGTTAAGATAGAGCATATTAGGGGCTTTAATAAGTATGGTTTTGGTGGAGTTACAGAGATAAAAGCCTGATTGCAGTGAGTTTAAAAAGGTCTAGACTTGATGTTGCTTAGAACATAGCACTATGTGAACTATACACATCTGAGCGAAGTGTGAAGTGGCTTAACCACTTTGGAAGAATCTAGTTAAAGACCCAACAATTCTGATCCTAAATTTATATAACCAAGAGAAACATTTGTATATGTATACTGAGATAGACATATTAGCATATTCATATCAGCATTGTTTGATATAGCAAAATGTTCTTATCCATTGAAGAGGAATGGATAGATCACTTGTGGTATATGTCAAATTATAGTAGTGAACATGAATGCACTGTGGATGAATCTTCCAAACATAATGTTGAGCAAAAAAACAGTCATAGAATATATGTGGTATGATTCCATAAATGCATAAAGTTCAAAAACATGCTGTATTTGTTGCTAGGAATGCCATACCAAAACCATAGAGTGGGTGGCATAAACAACACAAATTAATTTTCTCAGTTGTGTGTATTAATTTTGGTCATCTATGCTTTGCTTCTAGAAGTCTTATAGCTTTAGGTTTTATATTTAGGTTTATATTACATTTCTAGTTAATTTTTATTTTATTTTTTTTTCTAGTTAACTTTTGAAATAATTTTATTTATTTACTTTTGGCTGTGCTGGGTTTTCATTGCTGCACAGCCTTTTCTCTAGTTATGCTGAGTGGGGGCTACTGTCTAGTTGCATTGCATAGGCTTCTCATTCCCATGACTTCTCTTGTTGTGGAGCGTGGGCCCTAGGCATACAGGCTTCAGCAGTTGTGATGCACAGCCTTAGTTGCTCTGTGGCATATGGGATCTCTCTGGATCAGGGATTGAACCTACGTCTCCTGCATTGACAGGCAGATTCTTTACCACTGAGCCACCAGGGAAGCCCCTCTAGTTAATTTTTGTGTATAGTATAAGGAGGGGCTTCCCTGGTGGGTCAATAGGTAAAGAACAGAGTCAGAGTTAATTTTTGTTATTATAATATCCACTTGTAACACTCGTTTTGGAAAAGAAACTACTTTTTCACAATTGAATTATCTTGGCAACTTTGTTGAATGCCATTTGTACATACATATTTAGATCTGTTTATAGACTCTGTTCTATTCAGTTAATGGATATGTCTATCATTGCCAGTATCTCACTGCCTTGATTACTATAGCTTTGTAGTATAAGCTGTCCAGTTTTGTTCTTTTTCAAAATTGTTTAGACCTTTCTCTGACTTTCTACACAGAGTGTAGAATCAGTTTGTCAGTTTCTACAAAAAGGCCTGCTGAGAATTTGATTGAGGTTGCATTGAATCCACAGATCACTTTGGGAATAATTTATCATCTTAACAATATAAAATCTTCCTATCTGTAGATGATGGCATATATTTCTAAGTCTTTAATTTCTGTTAGCAATGTTTTATAGTTTTCATTATGCAGATATTGCACATACCTTGTTCAATTTGCTTCTAAGTATTTCATTTTTTAGTGCAACTGAGAAAATATTTTTAATTATAGATTCTAATTGTTCATTGCTAGTGTATATGCAATCAGGTTTTGTGTATTGCACTAAAACCTTTTACAAGTTCTAGTAACTTTTTAAAGACACTTTAGGATTTTCTGTATACATGATTGCATAGTCTATAATACAGTTTGACTTATTTCTTGTATATCTCATTTATTTTTCATGTTATATTGCATTGTCTATGAATAGTGAATAGAAGTTGTACAGTGTTGAATAAAAGTGGTAACATGTTCTTGTTTTTCCTCCCTTCTTCCTCAGAGAAAACTATGTAATGTTTAACCATTAAGTATGATGTTAGCTATTAGTTTTTCTTTGCCCTTTATTAAAGTAGTTAATTTACATGTAACATAGTTGATGTTAGGATTTAAATGTACCATCTTATTTTTTGTTTTTATTTAATCCCATCTTTTGTTTCTTTTTTGTTTTTCTTTTTCTCTTCATGTGCCTGATTTATTTACATTATCAGGTTTTTTGTTTTTCCAATTTTTTCTCTATCAGCTTATTGTTTATACATCCTTGTATTGTTACTTACCTGTCACCTTGTAGCTTTCACCTCATAGGCTTTCTCAAATGTGATTATCTGAGAGAATTAAGCCAAAATGCTCTAAGGCATTCACTGTAAGTAACATATTAATGTTTCTCCTATACATCTGTTGATGTACTAGCTTTCTACCATCTTTGGGAGAATTAAGAAAATAGTCACTCATAATATTTTCTTGTGGAACTCTGTTTGAAAAAGGCTGCCTTAGAAATCACAACATACATATTTAATTTATTACAGTTTATCTTAGTTTACTATTTCTAGGATAATCCAAAGACCTTGTAATATTTTGGTTCCATTTACCTTCCTCCTCTTATGCTATTTTTGCCATATATTTTAATTCTACATATAACTGTAAACTCCATGAGACATTCATGCCCTTTTAGATTTACCCCAATACTTTACTTTTTCCAGTACCCTTTGCCTCTGGCAAAGAGGAGAAACGTCCACTTGGAGGCTTGGGATTTTGGATTTTAGCCCTTGAAATTAATGTCTGTCATGTTTTTAGCTCTCTAGACCATTTGTAGCCTGACAGTGATGTACCTTTTATAGTAAACACCTCTTAAGAATGGGCTGATAGTCTCAAGAATTTCGGTGGAGCTCTCATGTTCTCTACCATTACAGACATCTGGTATTGTTGAGCATAGGAATAACTTCCTAAAAAATCAACTCAAAAGAGATTTCTGATCCTACCTCCCTAATCTTTTTCTGATTTACACACCTTAGTAAGGAAGTTTGGACACTGAAAATAGGTGTTCTCAAAAGGATCATGTTTTCTTGGTCACTTTCTTCTAATAATCAAGACAAAAGAGGTAGAGGAGTACATAGACCTATTTTTGAAAATTCAGGCTTCTTTCCTAACCATTCCTGGGCTTGATGCCTCTTTCGTTCCCCTGGACAGCACATGAGCAGCCTGGTTGGTGTACGCTCACGATGACCGCCTGGCTGCCACTGCCTCCTCCTTCTCTTTTTCCCTTTTCCCTCCTTCCAGCTCCGTCACTGAAGTTTTCATTCATACGGCCTACTTTACATTTACCAGTAAGTTGCTTATGTATTAGCTCTAAATAGTCAAACTTTCCTAATTACTGTAATTAGATTTCAGTATTCACAGATCTCTTCTTGTGACAAACATATACAGAACATATCTGAGAAGCCACTTTAATAAAGTTATTCATTATTTATTAATTTTCAGTGTTTTGGAGCACTCCTATACTGTGACATTTCATAGGAAAATACTAATCTTTTCACCTTAAAATTTCTTACAGTATGGAGAACATGTTCCATCTATATTTTGTTTATTGTTTTAGATGGTGTGACTAAGGCCAGTGTTGGAGAGATGGCTTCTAAGGAGAAAATTACAGCAAAAATTGAACCATTGACTGAAGAGTCTGGCAACCCCAGAAATGATGTTCTCCAGGATTCTGAATGCAGAGAATTCTTTGAACTTGGGGATAAATTCAATGAAAAGGATCAGAACCTCTTTAAAAGAAGACAGCACAACTGTGATGAATGTGGGCAAAGCTTTGCTTGTAGTACAGGCCTTATTAGGCATCGAAGAACCCACTGGGAGAAACCCTATGAATGTGATCAGTGTGGAAAGGCCTTTAATGTGAGCTCAGCCCTGGTTCTGCATCAGAGAATTCATACTGGGGAGAAACCCTATCCTTGTAATTGGTGCATTAAAAGTTTCAGTCGGAGCTCAGACCTTATTAAACATCAAAGAGTCCACACTGGTGAGAAACCTTACAAATGTGATGAATGTGGGAAAGCCTTCAGTCAGAGCTCTGATCTTATTATACATCAGAGAATCCATACAGGAGAAAAACCCTATCAATGCTGTCACTGTAGTAAAAGTTTTAGCCAGCGCTCAGACCTGGTTAAACATCAGAGAATCCATACTGGAGAGAAGCCTTATACATGTAGCCAGTGTAACAAACATTTTAGTCAGAGTTCTGATGTTATAAAACATCAAAGAATCCACACTGGTGAGAAACCATATAAGTGCGATGTGTGTGGAAAAGCCTTCAGTCAGAGCTCAGATCTTATTCTACATCAGAGAATCCACACTGGAGAGAAACCATATCCATGTAATCAGTGTAACAAAAGTTTCAGTCAGAACTCAGACCTTATTAAACATCGAAGGATCCACACTGGAGAGAAACCCTATAAATGTAATGAATGTGGAAAAGCTTTTAATCAGAGCTCAGTTCTTATTTTGCATCAGAGAATTCACACTGGAGAGAAACCCTATCCATGTAATCAGTGTAGCAAAACCTTCAGTAGACTTTCAGATCTTATTAATCATCAACGAATTCACACTGGAGAGAAGCCTTACCCCTGTAACCAGTGCAGTAAAATGTTTAGTCGAAGATCGGACCTTATTAAACATTATAGAATTCATACAGGTGAGAAACCCTATGAGTGTGATGAGTGTGGGAAAACCTTTAGTCAAAGCTCAAATCTCATTCTGCATCAGAGAATCCACACTGGCGAGAAACCCTATCCGTGTAGTGATTGTACTAAAAGTTTTAGTCGTCGTTCAGACCTTGTGAAACATCAAAGAATACACACTGGAGAGAAACCATACACATGTGATCAGTGCAATAAAAGTTTTAGTCAAAGCTCAGACCTCACTAAACATCAGAGAGTACACTCTGGAGAAAAACCCTATCATTGTGATTGTTGTGAGAAAGCTTTCAGTCAGAGTTCTGACCTTATTCTTCATCAGAGAATTCACACTGGAGAAAAACCATATCCGTGCACACAGTGCAGCAAAAGTTTCAGTCAGAACTCAGACCTTATCAAGCACCAGAGGATCCACACTGGGGAAAAACCATATAAATGTAATGAGTGTGGGAAGGCGTTCAGTCAGTGTTCAGCTCTTGTCCTACATCAGAGGATCCATACTGGGGAGAAACCATACCCATGTGATCAGTGTGGCAAAGGCTTTAGTCGGAGCTCTGATGTCATTAACCATCAAAGAATCCACACGAATGAAAATCCATATAAATGTGATGTGTGTAGAAAAGCCTTCAGCACATGCACTGATCTTACTGAACACCAGAGAATCCACACGAGAAAGAAACCCCACAGGTGCGTTCAGTGCAGTAGAAGTTTTAGCCGGCTCTCTGATCTTAATCATCATGAGAAAATTCATTCTGGGGAAGACACTTTGAATGTGGGAAAACCTTTAGTGTATACCCCAACTTTATTCAGTACTAGAGATGCTCTGCCAGAAAAAAATCTTAGGAATGCTATTGATTATGAGAAAGGTTTTAATCAATGTTCAGCTCTCATGCTACATTAAACACACACACAAGAGAGAAAAAACAAAAAAACAAAATTTGTAAAAAAAAAAGTAAAACACAGAGCACACACAACAAAAAAAAAAAACTGAGAACAAATCCTGTGGGTAGAGGAAAAATCTTTTAACGTGAAAAAAATTTTACTGAATGTCAGCAACAATGGAAAAAAATTTGTCTGCTGTAATGTAAGAGAAGCTCTAGTCTTTTAATCAAACACAGTCCACAAGAGGAAAGTTTCTATCATTATAAGAAATGTCTAACAGTGTTAATGCAGAATGTTTCCAGATATTGTAAGAATCAGTGTGGTGGTGTGTGTAATCAGAGCTCAGAAAGAAATGTATTAGTGTTATAATCTCACACCTTTAGTGAGCCCAGATCACCAGTTGCAGAGAAGTTATTTTAGAGAATGTAGGGAAAACTTAAACCCTTCTCTTACTTTGTCATTCACTCTGATAATTGGCATACTACTTATCTCCTGACAGCTGGAGAGTTCTACTTTATGCTAATTCTAGCTATTAAATTCCCTGCTTGTGAACATGCTATGCTATTTTGGTATTAAACTTGTTAACTACAAAACTCTAGTGCCCCGTTTTCTGAAAGATTTTTTTTTTTTTTTTGGCCAAGTTTTGTTCTTCCTAGTGAGCACAAGTTTTCAAGTTTCTGTGATGTTCATAGCAAACATGAATTTGTTTTGCTCTAAATAATGCAGCCCATCCATAAACTTTAGAGGTCTGAAATTATTTCAACACTACCATTTAATTGCAGCTTCTGAATATATGAAATAATTGTTTTAAATTCCATGTTAAAGTATGAAGATTACTACTATGTTTATCCTGTCATCTATAGATTGAACAAAATATTAGCTAAAGTAATAACCTTCATGACTAATTCATATAACATATTCTGTTTACAAGTAAAAAGATCTTTTTTTAATGGCAACATTCATCAGATTTTGTTTTCTTTGTTGACTTCTGACATACATACTAATAATAGGCTATGTATACTTGATATTTTCAACTGAAAAACAGTTTTTTAAAAGTAAGAAAACCTGTCTTTCTGGTATTAACCATTTGTTAAAATTCTGCTACTGTCATTTACTTTGACTATCCCCCATAATTATCCAATTAATATTTTAATACACATTGTTAAATTATTATGTGCAAGACTTTTTTTTTTTTTTAGGTTTTGTAGTATACACAAAGAATACACTGTCCCCAGAAATCATGAATTGTCTGGTCATAAAGGCTGACATATGCAGGAAACATGGCTCAATAGAATCATTAAGGTAGACGAGATGCTTATAAGAGCTCAGAGGAGGTAGGGTTCAATTGTGATTGGAAAGAAAGGAAAAGCTTTGTGGAGTTCCCAAGATTTGAGTTTTGAAGGATGGGAGTAGAGGCATATGGGCAGGGAGGGACTAGTCAAGAAAGGCACAGAAGTGATAAAATATAAGAAATGATGTAGAGTATGGTGCTTAGTCACTAATTCAATAAATATTCAGTATCAGACACTGCAGTGAGTGCTACTGAAGAAAGAATGATGCCCTTGTGCTTAAGTGTTTAGGAAAATAATAACTGAAACATGTACCTAAAAGAGTAAGAATAAAGTGGAAATTAAAATGAAGTAGGAGAAATGACAGTTAAGTGTGATGCTAAATAAGCAGACACTTCAACTTTCTGGAGTTTGGTGTCATCTGTAAAACAAGTACTAGGTGTGGTTGGAATAGATTTCATATTTCTGCATATTGTTCTCAAGGTAGTGGAAAGCTATTAACATCTATGAATCAGGGGATGGCATGATCATCATATTGCTTTCAGAAAAGTCTAAAAAGGAAGAAAGAACAGAAAGGAAAACCATTTTGAAAGTCTAGAAATAAAATCACAGGGTCCGGAAGTAAAGGAGCTAAATGACATAGACATGATGATAGGTTGAGAAGTGAGTAGGGGTGAAGTGAGAAGTGAGTAGGAGGGGAAAAGCATAACAATTATTGTCTGTTTGGGGGGAATTTTAAAAGTTAAGAAAAATGATAAAATTTATATCTGAAGGTTAGCTCTTTTTCCTGAGGATAAACACTAAGAGCCAACTGCTTCCTACACATTACTATCTAGTGTCCTATAGGTAAACTTAAAATGCATAAACTTGACGCACTGATGATATCATCCTCCTGAATTCCTTACTAAACACCTTGCCATCCAGATAAAATAACTGGTAGCCAACCTACATCCTTCATTCTCCCCCAGTTTTCTAAATCTACTTGCTCACTAGGTCATTTCTGAGTTACAAAAATAACACTACTTATTGTAAAAATTTAAAGTAAAAAGGGAAGGGAAACAGAACAAGGCCTGATATTTTATGCCAGTTGATTCCCCTGGCATTTGCTGATTCTCAAGCTGGCAAGACAAAAGGCCAAGAAATCTAACCAAAGGACACTGGAAGATTCAGATATCCACTATCACAGTCTGAATCACACATTTACCAAGTGATTCATCAAAAATAGGAAATCTGAATATAACCATAGCTAGTAAGGAGATTCCTGACATAGAAAAGCCCAGAACCAGATGGTTCCACTGTTGAATTCTACCAAATATTTAAAAAAGAAACACCAATCCATCTCAAACTGCTTCAAAAAACAGGAGGGAATGTTTTCAAGCTCATTTTATGAGGCCAGAATCAACCTGATATCAAAGCCAGACAAAGATACTACAAGAAAACTACAGATCAATATCTCCTATAAATATTGATGCAAAAACCCTCAACAGAATATTACCAAACAATTCAATAGCACATTAACAGGATTATATAATACCAAGTGGAATTTATTTCTGAAATGCAAAGATGGTTCAACATATGAAAATCAATCAATGTAATACATCATATTATCAGAGTAAAGGGTAAAAACCACATGATCATCTCAACTGATGCAAAAAAAAATTTTATTTGACAAAATTTAACCCCTTTCATGACTTAACCCACACACTCAACAATCTAGGAATAATACCTGGATAATAATAAAGGCCATACATATAAAACTCATAGTTAACATATACTCAGTGGTGAAACACTGAAAACGTTTCCTCTGTGAAGAACAAGAATGCCTGCTTTTGCCATGTTAATATAGCACTGGAACTCCTAGCCACAGCAACTAGCAAGAAAAATAAATGAAAGGAGGGATTAAAATGATATCTCTTTCTAGATAACATGATCTTATATACAGAAAACCCTTTAAGACTCACACACACAACTTGTTAGAACTCAATTCAGCACAGTTGTAGGGTACAAAATCAACATGCAAAAATCAATTGTGTTTTTACACACTAACAATAAACAACCTGAAAAAAAGCAATTCCATTTATAGTGGCATCGAAAAGAATAAAATACTTAAGAATACACTTAACCAAGTAAACAAAAGACATGCTAAAAGCTACAAAATATCTAAAAGAAACTAGACACCAATAAATGAAGAGCCATCCCATAGTATTAAGTACATTAAATAATTAACCAAGGAAACAAAAACCTTATACACTAAAAGCTACAAAGCGTTCTGAAAGAAATTAGACACCAGTAAATAAAAAGACACTCCATGGTGGTAAATACGTTAAATAATAGATAGTAGTAAATACTACCCAAAGAAATCTACAGATTCAGTGAAATCCCTATCAAAACCCCAACAACAATTTTTTCAGACCCAGAAAAATCCATCCTGAAACTCACATGGAATATCAAGGAGCCCTCAATAGCCAAAACAACCTTGAGGAAGAACAAAGTTGGAAGTCCCACACTTTCTGATTTCAAAACTTAACTACAGTAATAGAAACAGTGTGGTACTGGCATAAAGACAAATGCATAGACCAACGGAATAGTATAGGGTATAGAGAGCCCAGAAATAAATGCTCCTATAAATAGTCAAATAATTTTCAACAAGGGTGTCAAGACCATTCAATGTGTAAAAAGACAGTTTTCTTGATAAATGACATTGGGAAAACTGCATATCAACAAGCAAAAGAATGAATTTGGACCCTTGCCTTACACCATGTGCAAAAATTAACTCAAAATGGATCAAAGACCTAAACATAAGAACTAAAACTACAAAACTCTTAGAAGAAAACATGGAGGAAATTGGATTTGTCAGTGATTTCTTGGATATGACAACATAAGAGGAAACAAAAGAATTAAGTAGATTTCATCAAAATTTGAAACTTTCACACATCAAAGGATATTATTATCAGAATGAAAAAGGAAATCCATAGAATTTGAGAAAATATTTGCAAATCATATACAGATGGATTTTTAAAATTTTTTTTATTTTTAATTAGATAATTGCTTTACAGTATTGCATTCATTTCTACCAAACATCAACATGAAACAGCCATAGATTTATAGATAAGGGATTAATATTCAGAATATATAAAGAACCCCTACAACTCAACAATAACTAACCAGATTTTTTAATTGGTCAAATGGCTTGAATAGACATTTCTCCAAAGATGTTATAAAAATGGTCAAAAAGCACATAAAAAGATACTCAATATCACTAATCATTAGGGAAATGCAGACCAAAACCTCAGATATCATTCTATACCTATTAGAATAGCCATTATTTAAGAAAGAAAGGAAGGAGGGGTAGAAGGAAGTAAGGAAATAATATTGGTGAGAAATTGGAACCCTTGGACAATGCTGATGGGAATGTAAAATGGTGTAGCCACTGTAAGAAACAGTATGGTGGGTCGTCAAAAAATGAAACACTGAATTACAATATGATCCAGTAATTCCACTTCTGGGTATAGACACTAAATGGTTGAAAGAAGGGACTCAAATATTTGTACACTGATCATAGCAGCGTTATTGACAATAACCAAAAGCTGAAAACAATCTGAATGTCCATTGACAAGACAATGAATAAACAAAACGTGGTATATAAATACGATAGAATATTACTCAGCTTTACAGAGAAAGGAGATTTTGATACACACTATGTCATAGAGGAACACTGAAGACATGCTAAGTGAAATAAGCCAGACACAGAAGAACGAATATCTTATGATCCCACTTACATGGTGTACCCAGCAGATTGGATACACTGAAATGGAAGTTGGTGAGAGATACATAAGTAGAAAACACCAAGGCTGAAAGATGAAAGAAAAAAATGTTATAGAAGATACAGAAGAGAGCATAGGAATCATACCTGCTATGGTAAAAAGGCCTGGTTGTTGTTCAGTTGCTAACTGCAGCACGCCACGCTTCCCTATCCTTCAGTATCTCCTGGGCTTTGCTCAAACTCATGTACATTGAACTGGTGTTGCCATCCAGCCATCTCATCCTCTGTCACCCCCTTCTCCTCCTGCCATCAATCCTTCCCAGCATCAAGGTCTTTTCCAAAGGGACACAACTTAGCTACTAAGCCATGGGGTCACAAAGAGTCGGACACAACTGAGCGACTGAACTGAGCTAGCTACGAAGTCATCAAAAAGTCCTAACATACACAAAATTTGAATCTCAATGAAATAAGAGATGATGAAACAAAGGCTGTATTTAAAGAGTGGTCAAGAATTTTCCAACACTCATGAATAATCACGTCATATGTTAAAGGAGCACTGCAGACACCAAAAACTACAAAGAAAGTATAGCTGGGGATATCATCATACCTAACATTGTACCAAAGAAAAGAGAAAATTTTAAGAAAGGGGGAAGTCGTTATATCCAAGGAAGCAACAAATAGACTGAGGCTTAACTTCTCAACATAAAGCCAGAAGATAATGAGATATCTTGGAAGTATAATTTTCAAAAGTAAAGACAATGTAAAGACATTTCCAGACAAATAGAGAATTCATTGCTCACAGACTCAAACAAAAAGTACTAAAAGAAGCTCTTCAGGCACAAGAGAACACTTAAGGAAAAATGAAGAGCCATGGAAAGTATAAACCTGAAGGTAAATCTAAACAAATATTGACTATAAGAAAAGGTAAGAATGCCTAAAGTCAGGATCTAAGTACATTCTCAGGGAAATGGTAGAAGTACTAATTTATATATTAGGTCCCAATAAACCAAGGATGCATGTTGTGACCTCTAGAGTAAAAAAGGACTATAACTAACAATTTAACAAAAAGTAAAATGGAATAATAAGAACTATTGATTAATCTCAAAGAAGGCACGAGA